TGCATGAGGTGTTGAGCATGTGTGTGTGTGTGTATGTGTGTGTGTGTGTGCGTGTGTGTATCTGTGTGTGTGTATGTGTGTGTGTGTGTGTGTATGTGTGTGTGTGTGTGTGTGTGTCCGTCTGTGTGTCTGTCCGCATGTGTCCAGCATGTGTTTGTCCGCATGTGTCCATCAAGCATGTGTATATACACATGCTTGATGTGGTGTGCAATTTGACAGTAATATTGGCGGTAACGTTGGAAGAAGTGAAAAGTGTAAAAAATCAATCGGTGCAGCAATCTGCGAGTTTTACGTGTATTAAGACTCAGAGACAGCTTACTTCCACAGCTGTCCGTCACGTCGCACTTATTATCGCTGCATAATATTGATCCCTGCATTTTAACATTTGAAAGAGATTTTAGGCGACATGTTGTTTGGATTATTGTTCTGAAATTGTGTGGGCAAATGGCACTTGATAAAATAATGTGGGATAGTTTAAATTTCTGATAGATTCTATATTTATGAAAATAATTTTATAGATCAGACATATGAGTCTGACATGTGGTGCTTGGCTGGAAAAGTAATGTTTTCCTTATAGTGAAATCATTCCAAGGAATTATTTGAAATAGTATGAGATATTTTTTTTATATACTGGAAAGATTTTAAAGCTCCGATGCCCATGAACTAGATTGGGTCAGATCAGATCCAGTAAATAGCACCGGGTTTCTGAATTTATTTGAAACTTCTTCCGTAACTCACAATTGGAAAGCAAGAAATCAGAAGATAAATTGAATTTACTGTGAGATGAAAGATTCATATCAGTATTGGTCGTCAACATTATTTTCTTAGGAATCGGTATCATATCAGATCTCGAAAATTTGTTTTAAATTTCATCTGCTTTGTTATAGTGTTATTAAGTTCCTATATTAAATAATCGTTTGAAAATTTTTTCTAAGTTGCAGAGTTGTAATATTGAACGCAAACCTTTAAGGTAAATTATCGGTTGAAGGAACCAATTCATAATGTAGAAAAAATGGCTTCTAATAGAAGGATTCCGTGGCAGTCAGTCAGTCATTCTTGTATTCTTTTATGTGAGTGGAACTGATTCACAGTTCCAGCAGCACACTGTTCTCGTTCGATATAAGCATTTCTTGTACTACATCAACTTCTGATCATTCCACACTGTTGTGAGGTATCCTACAAAGGGGATATTGTGATCTGGAATCCTGATCTGATTTCATATCTCGGTGATCTGCGGTCTGTCTTCCAATGCTGTAAGGAATTTATTTTTGTACAGTTTATAGAATTTCAGAGATTCTTTTACCATGCGTATTGACCGTGTCATAATGTTACGTGGTTATTATAATGACATATTTATTCAGATCTTATTGCCTACAGCTTAATCGAGTATGAACCGAACAATACAATTTGGTAAACTAGCGCCATTAACTTTTTCGGTGATTGACAAACGGCTACTTTTAAGATGGAGTCATGTCATCAAAATATGTTGCACTAAATGATCCAGAAGTTTGGACGATGTTAATGACTTAAATTCTTCTCGGAATTGTTATTAACTTTCCTAGCTACTCGGTTATATTGCTAAAGAAATTATTAGTTTTTCTCTTTGCTGGAATGAAGAAGGGAATGTATAAGCAAGTGCTAATACATTGCTAGAATTTTTTAAACTGTACAGGAAATTAAACTAATCATGGACGCTAAAATTTTATTACTTTATTTGACAAAAAAATTAAAATTTTGAATAGTAGGTTCCTTTTATTTCCTAATAATGGTCATTTTATAGAAGGTCTTAACTTTTCATTTCGTTCAGTTTGTATGTGTTAACGGCAGCTTCCATCGTTACTTCTACGCTTTATACTAATATATTTTATTCGTACCTCGACACTGCTAATCGCCCACTGCTCTCACAGTTTGTCATTTTAGGGAGTTAAAAAATGACGTCTGAACAAATTTAAATGAATTAACCACTACCTAAGTATTACCAGGGACTGCCAATATGCATAATATGCTTCGGAGTATAAATGCTGTGACAAAGAAGACAAATGATAAGCAAAACGATGAGATTCTGGTATGAATTCTAAGGCAGTAACACTTATAAAGACTTCAGTCTAGGTGAAACAATAATTACTAATGAGTTTCAGGTCTGAATTAATCAATAATTTCTACCTGCCAGCGCTACTTACCTTTGAATTTTTTCGGCGATACTAAATTAATTTTCGGGTGTTCTGATAAGCGACTTGAACGTTAATGACTAATTTCCAGAGTGATTTGACGGAATATTGCATAGCAATATCAAACAGAAATGTAATTATAGGTCTGTAAAGCCGACAACAATACATAACCCAACCAAAGAATAACGAGAATTAAAGCACTGAGAACTTTAGGCCCTACCGGACCTCCAAGTTCCCCTTTTCCAAAGAATGCCAAAATTCGTCGAGCTGTTAGCAATAGCATATAGATTGTAGATGTAACCATGAATATCGAAACACTGAAATTACTGTGATCTAGAAGATATTGGCGAACTTCACGGTTGGAGACAACGTTCCAAAACAGTGGTCGATTTCTAGAATAAAGAGAAGTAACATACTTCTATTTAAGTTGTTAGCAGATTTATACAAACCTAAAACACAAACTGCCAGCGTTGACTACGAATGGTTCATTTCTGATGAACCAGTATATAGCAGCAATGGTCCATGGTAATCCAAGTCCGAGGAATACGTTTACCGCATTGGAACCAGTTATGTTGCCGATAGCATTATCGGCTGTGGCGTCCTAAATGCTTTTTAAAATTTCAACAGAAATAATATGTGCGTCAGCAAATGCTCTTTTTGTAAATCAGTCATCAGAATTCTTTTCCATAATATATAGAAATAGTTACACTCCTTAGAATATGGTTAAAGAATTTTGTTCCGGCAGTATGAAAAACTTGAAGGTACTTTGATAACATGGAGCTATGTCAGTAGAAATGTTGAGTGGACTGATCAGGTAAGAAACTATGCAAATGATGGAAAGAAAAGAGCAATAAACATACATTTCGAGCAGCAATTTTTGATGCAAATGTATCCGGTAGGCTGGTACCCAACGCAACCAAAGTTGTTGCTGTAACGGCATCTTTTAGGCCGATCATGCAACCAAGAATGCTTGCCAGGTCACCTGAATCCATAGTTTCCAAATTGATTTTTCCAAAAACATTTACGAAGTTTTCTCGGAAACTCATTGCTGTACAAATGTAATAACAAAACAGATCATTTGCAACTGTTAAATATTTAAGTATGAAAAAATAGAACTGACCTATAACGGCAGTAATGAAGCCAATCAGGACTAGCGCACTGAAGAAGGCCAACCATCCGCCCAGGATTGTGGCTGGAGGAATTAAAGCTGCCATGACTTTCCATGGAAATGACAAAATGTGTAGCACGCAGTCCATCAGTGTCGCATTGTCAATATCACCGGCATTGATGCTTGTCGCTCGAATGAACTGAAAAAATGAAATGGAAAGTAGTTTGAATTAGCATAATCGAACAGCGTAAATTGCAAAGGTTGGAGATTGCGGTTCATGAGTAGTTTTATGAAGATATTATGGTATTTAATTATCTATTAGAATTTAATATTTGGATGTCAGTTATAAAAAAGGGCTTACGTGATCAAGCCATGTATTGGATCCGTACGTCATTTCTTTAAAGTAATATGATGTCAGTTTTCGAACATTCGTTATGTTTTTCAATGCATTATCATTACAAATAATTGTGACTACAGCACATTTATTAGGCCCAATTGTTACTCCTGGAAATAGAGGAAGAAATTGTTGTTTCAAGGATAGAATTTAGAATCCATACGTTCGATATACATCAGAAGTCTGATCGAACTGTTCAAAAAAAAAATTAATGCTCACTACCTTCTATCATTATTTAAATTTGTTAGTATCAGTAGTATTTACCTCCTGTTGAAGATGTAAGATGTATATTGAACGTTTCATCTTTCTCTTCACTCATATCGTCGTATATCCTCACGTCGATATACTTCTCATACTCATTACCCACAAACGTCAATACTCCGTCACTAATCCCCTTATAATCTTTACCACATTTGGCTGTAACAGCTTCTGTTTCATAATATACATTAAAAGTGCACTCATTACGTTGGCCAAGGCAGGTAACGAAAGCTCGTACATACTTCTGATTTTCTTTTACAATCTGAAATAGAATTCTGTTAGTGAATCAATCAATATTTTCGTATTTGTTTATTACAAGCAGAAATGTGCTTCCAATGATTTCAAGAAAGTCTTACGTAATTGTTTTTGACGAACTGTACCATTGGTTTATTGATCAAAGTTGAAGGATCATCGGTGATCTGAACTCTCGCCACGTTTGTCTCCCCGATTGTGTTCTCTTGGTCGTTTTCAAGCTGTAAATTGACAAAATAAAACTGATGGAAATTGATCACTGTAATCAATGGTGCACATATGAAACTGTGCTATTTGTGGATTCAGAAAATCGGAAATTACAAGATCCATGATACCTTGAAGAAAATAATTTAGAATCACTGATCTGGAAACAAATGATCCAAGATTACACGTATTGGTCAAAATCACTGCATAGGGCACTATTTCAATCTCTTTAGGAATTATACTGTTGGTATTATTCCAACCCAGAAAATTTCCTACCTGTTTCAAACAAACGTAGAATACATCACCCGGTCGCCACTTTGTACCTTCTACCAAATCTATGTAGATTTCCTTGACCTTTTCACTAGGTTTAAATTGTATCTAAACAGTAATGGTTTTCTAAGAACTGGGATTTAAAGGTATGTTAGAAATGTTTTTTAACAAAATTCCCTAACTTGAATTCGTTACGAATTCATTTTCAACTGAAGAAAAAAGGTTATTTGATGGTCTCATTTGCATCCACGTAAATCCATGCAGTATTTTTTTTTTTCCAGAAGATAATTTATGAAAAATCACAGTTTCCGATTTTGATAGAAAATGAAGATCCTTCTTGACTACACCGTTTTTCGTCGAACAGCAAAATGTAGCTGTTTTGTCGGTTGGGTCATGTCGAATAATCTGCAGATGATGGCAAAATTTTAATAACCTTCCATAAACTTGGGCTTCCCATATCAGTTACTTGAATAATTTATGTTTCGTTATGAATTTGTGCTTCACCAAAATCTTCAGGCATATCAGGCCACTTAAGTAGTGTGCCGTAATTATGCCTTGATGCAAATATGTTTAATCCTCTGACAAAGACCTAAAAATCATTGTATTTGACAGTCAATGGCAACTGCCATATCCACTAAAATTAATTATAATATAAGACTGGGAACTTACCCTTAACATAACTTTATTGCTTCCTTTAGTGATCGAATATACGCGGGCCGAAAATTCTATCGTCCCTCCAGCTATAAGTCGAAGGTTAAATTGCTGGATAAGACGGAAATATATTTCGATTTTTGAAAATAACATGAGAATTCACCTGTTGGTGTTTTATTTGCCCTGTAGGCCTCTTCCAGCATTCTTTTGGAATTCCATTTCAAATCCATTTTTCGAGTGGCAGCAGCCAATCTCCCTACCACCTGTAGACGATAGCACAAACGGTTGCGATTCTGCAATTCGTCATATTTTGTATCAAAGTTCTTTAAAATGACACTGATAAGTTAAACAAGCTATAATTTTGCACCTTCATTTGCATAATATCGATCTCTAAACGAACACGCTGCCTGATGTAGTAAATACAATGCTTTTGCTACATGTAAATTCTTCAATGGCTAATTAGTAGTTTTAAATTAACATATATAATAAAATAAACCATCCATCTCATCGCATACTCAAGTTTCGTTGTTGTACTTCCAACTCATCCTGTTGCATAAGTACTGGAACAATTAAATTAATAGGTAGATCGTCGAAAATACACAAAATATCAAAACACCTGCATGTCCCTTAGTTTGGAAGCCAATAACTTGGATTGTTCATCCAGTGAGAGATTCGGATAAACTCGTGAAATCCACCGCAATATAGAACATAATATTTTGTGGTCACCTATTTTACTCGTTGATTTGACCTAGAAATGACGTAAAAAGCTTCAGCCAATAAGTACAAACGGTGATGGCAAATTAATCCAAAAATAAAAAAAAGTAACAATATTGATCTAGAATATTTCATTTACGGCGCGATAGTAATTTTAAACGGTTCTAGAAAAACTGCAAAGATTAGTTGACGATAGTACCATATTATTTCCGAACTCCATTTCGCTAGCAAACTTTTTTAGATAAGTGTCAATATCCTCGTCCTTACATTTCTCATCATCAGTACCATCAATTTGATACTCCTCGTTCAGGTAAGCTTTGCTACGTCTCCAAATTTTGATATCCACCAAATATGCAACAATTATTAAGACGAAGAAGAAACCAAAAGTCACTAGTGCTTCCCATAGCTCTACTACGTTTGGCGATATTACCACCAGTATCTGAAAGAAAGTCTGAAAAATTCTTTTAGAATACTTCACTACAATTTGGGAGTGTCAGCAACGATATGACGATAAAGGAAACAAAATATTCCCCAGAATCTACAAATAAATTGAAAAAACGCTTCTACCTATTGATCAGTCATTCTGGAATAGTCAACATTTTAATTAAAAATGGATCCTTGGCAACACAAGTTAATGCTTTTCACTACTTTTACACAATTACCGTATCGGCACTCCTCTGTGTTATCATTGATTATACAATGACATGCCGATAATCTTTCATCAACCACCCACAGATGAAGATAAAATAGAAATCTGTCACAGAAATGATAAAGTAGAAGGCAAGATAATTTCTAAAGTAAGTGAAATCGTACAATTAAAAGCCAAATGTATGCCAAAGAGCTAAACAATGACGTCGTGACAAAAACAAATGTCTCCTGAACTCGTTTAACTGTTGGTGATGGTACAGCCAAGACACATACAGCTGTGATGCATAGTAAATTGAAAGCTGCAGAACCTGTAAACTGATAAAGTATATAGCACAATTGTTATGTAATACCTTCTTAGCCAATGTATCTGTGCAGAGACCAAAGAAATTAAAGATTTTTAATTGAAAATCTGTGAAAAAAAAATGATTTCTCTGAATAATTCTGAGATTTCATGAAAATATTCTATCAAAGATCATCAAAAAGTGACGAATTTAGGATTAAAAAAAAAGTATTTTGGGGAACGAACCAATAATAGTGCTTGGTCCAAGATCACCAACCCGAAAATGATTGGCTGTAATTTCAATTATTGAAAGCAAGATTTCAGGTGCACTGCTTCCCAATGCCTAAGCAGTGTCATAATAAATATAAAATTTAAATGAATGGAATATTGAATAAAGGCTTAACCATTTTGATGAACATTATGAATTCTCATTCATTGTCGTTACTTCTTGCATTTATATTATATTACAAAGACTTGATGCTGTAATAAATATAAAATGTAGAAATTAAAAATATACCATTAAACTTAAATTGGCTACAGTTGGATTCCAAACGCGTACTTCTCTACCTTCTTCCAGATCATCGGTTTCATGCATTGTGTTTTTTGGCGGATTTTTTAGTTTAACTTTTCTGCAATATGCCAATAAACCATTCAATTGTCAAAACAATTCCCAAACACTGTATTATTGAAATTTTCTAAATAATTCAAAAGCCTTCTAAGAGCTTTGTGCGGTCTGAAACTTTTAATAACTGGCATCACACAGTAACTCGTGAAGTAGGATAACCTGATGGAACCAACCTGGATGATGATGTAATTTTTTCGATAGAGCACATGAAGACATCTGCAACGATTGCAGTGCCTAAGAAGCAATACAATAAAGCGAAAAAGTATAGGAGATCATTAGATAAAGAAGTTAATGCGGCTGATATAATGATACCATCCTTGCATCTTTCTCGTGTTAAATTTGTCATTCGTTCATATTGGCTATTCATAATCGGTCTTCTGTTTTTTTTATTGCATTTCCTGCAAAAAAAACAATTCAATTTCTAATTTTGTCCTTTTATTACTTGAAGTTTCAAATCCTTTTATCTTTATTTGTTAACCAAAATTTATTTCGGATATATAGTGTGACACACGACACGACCCCACGATAACTGTAACGAAGAATGTATGGCTGATAATGGAATAATTACGGAAGTTTCTAAATTCCTTAAAGTTCATGGATGCAAAACAGCATAACTCTGAGGCAAATAATTCACAGGGAAAAAGTTACTAAATTCTTTGCTTTAAGAGAACAGCTGTGATTGCAAAGAACAAACTTAAAGGAAAAGATTTCAGTGTTAGCCATTTATAATGAGATCGGGGTCAGTTTCGCGCAGACTATGCCTCACCTAGAAAATTCACTACGCAGTTTAGAAAGATACATCCACATTTATAGCATTCGCAGCAAGCGTGGGTTTTTTAAAATCTTTCACAAATTTTCGCTTGCGAAGGTTAACCATGATGGTAATAATGGTATTAGTATGGATCAAATTCAACTCTTTCGCAAGAACAAAAACCTATCCTACATCTGAAAATATATTTCTAAATTACCATGCAAATTTTCAAATTGGAAAATTAAAAAAATTATAAATTATGTCTCTCATCATGTCTATAAATTTGAAAACCGCTTGGAAGGTACACGCACATTTCTCACATTTGCTTAATTTCGATAAATTTTTTCTTTTAGAAGGCAAAGTATTTGCTAACATGATATCCAACGTAAAGGTCATGCAGGTAAAACTTTTGCATCTCTAGAAATAGTGAAATGAACTACTTGTGTCATAAAGGCTTTATCTTTCAATAGAACAAGCACTGAACCCTTTAAAACAAATCATCGCTTCGCAGTTTTGACAGTTATCTTCCTCGTTAAGTGTTAAGCTGTATTGTCCTTCATTTGCATGGAAGTTCCAGCGATACGGTCTTCGATCATGTTAATGATATACAGAAGGGATTATTCAAATGATTTCATAAAAGTTCGCATATGGAATAAATTGGAAGAAATGTGGAATATGTATAGCATAGTAATACCAAGTAACATAAATTAATATGCCGTTAAAAAAGTTTAAAAAACTCGGGTAAAAATGGGCGAAAGGAAATGAAGAAGGCAAGATCGCTACTGCACTTTACCTGCGACATCCATCTGCAACAATTCAACCAGTAGAGGACCGATCGGGTATGTCGTCGATTTAGATATACAACCAGACATTAAGAGTATGTATGTTGACATCAGTGCATCTGCTCTCTTCCGTGTTTTCCTGCATTTACAGTCAACAACTGGTGACAGAGGACATGCAGCATAGACAACAACTTATTACATGGAAGGGGTAATACTTCTGTTTGAAGGATCCAAAAAAGGATTATTAACTCAACGGTCTTTCTTCGTTCACTTTTATGATGCGTAGTAAAACTATTGATCATTTAATGGAATTGAAATTTCGTTTGAGCATACATCTTTATTTGCTTGGAATACTACTGTAATTTACAAATTTATCACCAAATCAAAACAGCTATGAGCAAATAAGTGCTGGAATATTTATTTGAAAAGTCCGAAGAAAATATTGTTAGTAGAAGAAGATAGAGGGTTACAGGTTGAAAAAAAAAAGCTAATTAGACTTCCATCGAAGAATGCTGCTTATGCTTTGTTATTGCCCCATTCTTTTCGGAAATCGTTTAACTCGCACATTTAGAAGATGGCGTTAAAGACAGTATCTCTATCTTTTAAACATTTGAATTAGTAGAATCATAAAGGTTTTGAAAATTAAATTTAACCAAAACACAACATATGCTACACATTGCCTTTATTCTCGTTTAATTATACTATTCATAAGATTAATTATTATTATACGTTTAATTATACTATTCATAGATACATTTTTGTTCATTCATTTAGCAGATGATTATAACGAATTTGACAAAAGGAAAAGAGATGCCAGAAAATGAGTTCTCCGGAATATGATATATATCGTATAAAGCATCAATATGACTGCCGAAGGAAAACTTTTGGTAATTTGTTCAGAGAGCTTAACTTTCCAACTCAATACAGTTGCACCAAACGATAAATTTCTATTTTTGGACATAGTTTTGTGATTTTAAAATGCGCTTTTGGATTTTTTATTATGAAGTTAAATCAAATTTCGATAACAGATACCTCGACAAGAGTGACAATTATGTTAAAAAAACTGTGATAAATTAGGTGAAAAAACAATTAAGATTACAAAAAAAAGTAGTGGATCGAAAATAGTATCGAAGGATTAAATTAAAAAAGAAAGAAAGAGTTAAAAAGATCTGTACACATCTGAGATCAATGTAGCATGATTTCATAATAAATAAACATCTAAAAAAACACAAACCGATTTAGTGCCAAATATCACAAAAGCTCCGGAAATCTGTAAGATATTAAACCTTCTTGTGTAGGTAATTCAGAATTAAGATATTAGTAAAAGAGAATGTTGAGATTTGAAAATAAGCTAGTTTCAATTCATGGAAACAGGTAAATGACCATTTCTAAATTGATATTTCTGGTGCTAGAGCAAGAAAGGCGCGCACAATATTACTATCGTAATGGATGGCGAAGTGATGTTGAATCACTGATTTGCGATATAAAGATAAGACAAAGTACTTTTGATTTATGAAATGATCTTAAGCAATTTTGAGAAGAAAGTTTAAAAAATTCTAGCCCACTTCAACTGTTATTTAAAACATCTATTACACTGATATAAAATCAAATAATTCAAATTACAGCAAAATCACCAAACAACCAATAGTAGCCCGATTTACCCGCAAAATATTAATATCATATTCGAATTGACTTTAACATTGGTACAATAAACATGAGAAACAAATAGACGAAATGACACTACAGTACAAAAATAACAATTGGACAAAATGACACTACAGCATTACAATGAATAGACAAAATGACACCACAATATGACAATAAATGATGAAATGGCGTCAGAGTCCTTTTTGAGTATAAAAGTTTGAAAGGTAAGTAACCTTCGATGTGTTGCTTTGATCCATGAAAATCCCTAATAGAGATCCCCAATATTTATGTGTGATTTCTTGTTCATTTGGATGGGACCTATTGTATTCGTTAACAGATTTCATTATAGTTCCTATAATATATCCCTTTTCCGAGTTTTCTAGAGCAATAAGAGCTAAATGAGACTAAAATACAAACTTAAACATTTCAGAAGATATCTGGACCAGCAATATTATAATGGGAAAGACCGACGTTAGTGTTAAGGATTGAAAACAGAAGGCAGTATTTACTACGCTACATTCAGTATTTTCATTATCCAATTACAACTCAAACAAACTTCCGCCAAACAAAATAGAGATAATAGCAGAAGTATGCCAGAAAATGGTAGCTTGAATAGCTCATATGACACTGAATTCACAAATGAAGTGGACCAATTTTCACATTTATGAAATGACACAAAAGAGTTTCTCAGAAGAACTACTTTGTAAGCGTGAATTTTAATAACTACTTTAAAGGATTGAATAAGAAGAGGTCTATGGATATAGAAACAAAGTACAATGCGCATTTTGGATTAATTCAGTAAATTGTTCAATTATTAAAAAAGAAAAAGACGAAATTCTGACATTGCAGCGGAAGTTTCTGGAAAGATAACTTGTCAATCTATCAATGGCATTTTTTTGTTGATTATGAGAAAGTACACCTCGAGATCGCAAATAATAACTCATTATAAAAAGTTCTTCAAGAGAAATGAAAAAGATTTAGTGAAAGTTAATTTCATATGTAACAAAAATTAACATATGATCGAAAAATATGAGCAAAATGAGAGCAAATATTAAAAATAAGCTTATAAAAGGGAAATAAGAGAGGGCGTTACCGTCAAAAGTTTTGGGAAGAGAGGAGGAGGAGGAGAAGGAGGAGGAGAAGAAGGAGGAGGAGGAATCCACCTTAAATGTCTTCGTTCTGCAACTGAGTATTCCTCAAAATATTTCTCTTGCCAAAGTGATGATACATAAATTTAATGATAACATTATTCACAGAGATCTTGAATTAAATATTGAATTGAGTATTAATGAATTTAATTTTAACATCCTTACAGCTTAGATGCTAATTCTTATTTTGTGTTCAATCTAGTTAAGTGCTGATTATTGACAATATGAAGAAGTCGTTTCGAAATTTTCACTATTATTCGAAAAAAGCATTTGATAAAATCAAATAGCTGAGATCACAAAAAAAGTACATCTGATTCAATAATTCATTCAAGAACAACATTGGGACAATTTGATACTAAAAAGGACTTCCTCTTCATGATCGTCCAAAAATTATTTTACTTTTTCGCCTTCATTATCAAACTGTCCCATTTGTCCGAAATTATACCCAATAGGAAAAAGCATGAGATCCTGTACACCATTGGAATGTATGACGAAGCAAATTATTATGAGAATAGGATTATACTTGAGCTCTCATTCGTTGAACCTGAAAAGAGGGAAATTGTGAAAAGGAATTTTGTTGACAAATTTAAAGCTCATCTTTTTACATTATTGAAAAGAAACTACTTCATATTCGTAGCATTATGAGTAAATATAATCTGAAATGCCAATATAAAGGATGTGGATTGGAGGAATGGTTAACAAGACTTTCCATTCTTTCCAAGGCTATAGAATTGGGATAACGAATGAGCCAGGCTCTGGCTGGAAAAACACTTAACATTTCAGCTTTAAAATTTGGCTGAATATGCAAAGGTAGAATTTTGAATCGGAATCTTGGACTTTGATTACATGCAATAATTCAAACAAGATAAAAACGGGTCGTGCAAAGGTGTCACACCTTTTCCAGTGATCAAAAATAGAGAGTGTGTGTTAGTGCGAGAGAGAGACAGAAAAAATCGCACGAAAATTCGACGTTTTTGTACTCCAGATCCGGAATTCAAGACTTCATTTTGCTGTTGTGCCGGAATCAAACACTGCTTTCGTCAGAAAACAGTTTTTTAGCTGTCACAACATTACTTACCACCGTACACATCCAACCGCAGATTTAAGGACAGAAATGAGAGGGGGGAGTGAAGCTCGTAACAAAGTTTGGATGTTTTAGTTTTGGCATTCGCCATTAAAAACGAAAGCTGGTATATCTGGTTACATTTGAATTAAAACCAGTCGATAGTGCTATTTCCAGCATCCCACACCTCCACTCATTTCTCTCATTCTGCAAAAATAATCACTATTATATTGGAACATCACAATGGTATCAAAGAAGGATATAAAAACTATGAATGAAATAGACGATGAAGCTTGTTGTAGTACGAAATACAGGACAACTTTCATAAACATCCAAATTGAACAATAGGCAGCTGCCTGAGATAATTCCATGTCCATTTTGATGATAAGTTGTTTCAGAACATCAATGAACAAGATAAAGATAAGGGACAACTTTCACAACATATAACTAAAATCATATTAAGAAAACATGCACATCAATGTATTGTACATACACCACATCCTATTAATACCAATTGATTATTTCGCTTATTAGCAAAGTTCAACAGTAGCAGCAAAGTTTGTGACTACGTCTTCTCAACCAGTAATTCCTATTCATAATAATTAACTATCAAAGGTTTGTGTCTGATGCAGGTGCATCTTGGGATTTTATGTAGTGAATTGCACCTCGATAAACAAAAATTTTGGCATGGGGTCTGAAAGATTATCAGTTGGAAGCTGCATCACTGACAATGCTTTCCTCGGAAACAAGTCACTTTGATAACAAAAGCAGCGCAAGTTTAAAAATAAAATGAAACTGAACGAACAATATTACTTAGTTATCCAGAAAAACAAGACGATATCCAAGCAGAACACAAACAAATGAACGATTGTTCAGAAAATACGCGACGAATTTTAGTGGCAGACTAAATAACGAGACACGACAAAAGTCTATTCTCTTGACTTGACAACACAGACTCCTTTTAAGATTTGGCATTTTTTATTTTTTTGAACTATCATTTTTGCTCAGTACGGTTTATCTCTAGGACGTTTCAATTGGACTTTGAGTCGTTTCATGCCAATTTGGAAGCCATTCATTGCTTGAATTGCTGCCATTGCTGAGGCGGTGTTGTCGTAGGAGACGAAACCTGAATTGATAGGACGGTACTGTAGTTACAGTGCCAAGGTCACCATATTACTGTAATGCTGCTACTATTTTAGTAGTATACTACATTGAGATGCTGTATCAACATGAATCTTCTTCAAACATTCACGTGGTACTTTAATCTTCCAATAGAGCCCGTCACTTAAAAGTGACGTTCCTATTCGCTTTATTTCATTGAGTTACGGTGAAGCTACCACACTGTTTGTATCTTATAGATCTATGATTTTGCCAGAGTGCGAATATTTAAACAAAAACCACACCGAAGCATTTACTCTGATTGGTTGCTCGATCAATGAAGACTTTAGCGCTTATCACATGTCCGAAGGGCATAAACATTTGCATCAGTTCAGTGTCACCAAATTCTTGCGGTAAGTGGTAGATGAATAAATTGCATCCTTCCGGACCCAAAACTGAAATACGCCACTGTTGGTTTCTTCTTAATATTCCTTTATCTAAACATTTCAGCTTTAAATGAATTTGATAGTGAAACTATATGACACATATAGAAGAGGTTTACAGTTTCGATCGAATATTTTATGAACAAAGAGTGAAAGAATATCTGAAAATATATGTTATTAAAATAGGCTTCAGAGATGTATAGACTAAAAAGGCTTTATGAATGTGTGTTAAGAAACAGCAATCGTTTTGTTTGGCTAAGAAGCAGAAATGTTATACAAACAAGTATTAAGGGAAAGATTTAGGAGAGGAGTAAGGATCATTTCCAGCGGCGGCTTTGTCACTTACGTCCTTCTCATTCTCATTATTTTCAATAAATAAATTGAGTGCTGTTGATGCCGGGAGAGGAAATTGCACATCGATGTAGTCCAACCAGATGCTAATGAAGCTAATTGAGCGAGCAAAGCAAAATGTGACAAAATCTAATTCCCATTTGAACTAAAACAGAGATTTCACACGCCATCCAGCAAATTTTTAAGTGTCGTTTTACTGTAACTTCCCGCTCAATAAAAACGGAAATATCGTTGCAAAACCTATGTCATGCTGAAGATTTAATAAAAAGGTAACGCATATTTTTTTTGTTATTTAAAAATTTATAGTCACTTTTAAGTCTCCCAAAATCCTGGGAATGAACATTTTTTAAGAGAAAAAATCATAATTCTATTTAAAAAGTCAGACATTTGTCAAGTATAGTGCTTGAAATTCCTAGCCTGGATACCTAGTTGCTCAGCTATTTTTATTTCACCACGTTTTTGTTTACCTTAATTGACAGCCTATTTCAATATTTTATTTCTGGTAATGTAATACATATTTATCATTAATTATAATCAAATTTGCACCTTCTTTTTGTGCGCCTGGAAAAAGAATAGCTGCTTGCTGAAGGGCAATTGCTTGTTGTAAGGCTTGATTGTATGGATCTACAAAAAACAACATGATTTCAAAGGGATTCTTTTTTAATTAAAGAACAGTGATGTACTGCTATGTCTCCATCAAATCAGCAATTTTATATTTTAATAGCATCCTCAGTTCTATGCCAATTTCTTTCGTTTAATTTATATATTAATAAATATGTCCTTACTTGCTTGCTGTTCAAGATTGACCAGAGGATTATAAACTGAAGGCAGAGTTACCGCGGGTATTGTTCCGGCAGGTAATGTTCCGCTAGCTGGCAGTGTATATGCCGTCGAATCAACAGCTACTGCTGCTGCAGTACTTGAAGCTGTAAGCTTTCTGCGTCCATATCAAATTAATGACCAAATTGAAAGAATTATCATACGCTGATCCTAATCAATTGTGATAATCATTAATTCATCAGGTATACTAGTTGCAGCAATATACGCTCAACTGTTAATAGCTCTCTGGAACCCAACTTGTTTTTTTTTTTTAATATAATATGAAAACGAACGCATTACTCAAACAAACTTACGTGCATATTGTGTAACGCTTGCAGCTGCAGTTGCGGCATAATCAACAGGTGCGTAAGGTTGTGATAATGCGGAAATTGCTTGAACAGAATGCGCTTGTTGTAACGGAAGTGCTGAAATTGGTTGCAAGGGGTGTTGTGTCAGGAATGTTGCCGGATTTGTTGTTCCAGCCAATCCTGCTGCTGTTAGCTGGAAATGACCTCTAAATCTAGAAGGAATCTGTGGGTGATAGCTAAAGTCAAACAAAACATAAAGAGAGAGAGAGAGAGAGATGAGTTGAAATGGAAAACACAAAATTCACAACTTCCCGTGTCTCCTTCTTATTTCAATCTCTTTCATTCCCTCGCGGTTAATTAAAAAAGCCTTGATGGCTAGAGATAAGTGGATATGCAAGATGGCACTTCCCGAGCAGCCAAATGTTGTATTTTCATGTCACTCACTCTTAATGATTATAATTGGACTTACTACCATTAGCAGTACTATCATTCTCTATTCACAGCTTTTCCTCTTTCTTATCTTTTCATCTCTCTTCCTCTCTACATCAGTTATTCTTCCTCTCTTTCTATTCCTCCCTGCCAGCTCTTCTAGATTAGGTAAATTATCCACTGCACACACTAAGAGGACAGATGATACGGACAGGAGCAGATGTTACGGTCATTTAAATGTAACACTGAACAAAATTTCTATCCATCAGTTTAGGACAAGCGTATGGCCAAAATATCCGCCACTGACAAATATTTCTCATACTCTTGTGAACTGGACATAAAAGCACTGAATTTTACGACGATGACGAAATACGTGGGCAGGTTAAAGATCAATCGATGATGACTGCTTACACAGCTGCATGCATAATCACGTCAAGTAAAACCTACCGCTGTCTGCGGTGCCATAGCGACCGGGAAATAAGCAGCTGCCGCCGTTTGCGCTGCTACAAGAGTAGCTTGCTGTTGCAGCAGCTGAAATTCTAAGAATCAAAATACTTTTCAAGCTTATTTTCTTGAAGTCAGATACCTGTAATTCTTACCTGTGACGTAAATTTCCTACAGCGAAATAGCTATACTTGTTCCACTTTTCGGTGGATATTCTTGGCTGTATTACGCTTGATATCATTAGCAATTATTTGGCCAAAGCCGTATAAAATTAGCAAGTACTTCAAATGTGTCAAATTTGATCTGTCCCTGACAACCAACTTCATTTCTAACTGTGCTTTTCAGTTGCAAGTGAACAATAGACAGTTCAATTCTATCCTCGCCATATCACGAACCTGTTGATATGCCGTATTGTAAACGCCGGCTTGATTAACAAGCACCGGATTTAGTAGACCCATTTGGGCAGCCATTTGTTGCATTCGACGTAATTGTCGCTCCTTTTCTGTATCAGCGAATTTGACGACCAGCGATGACGAAGCACCTGGCATCGTTTGGCTACCATGAAGAGCGTTTATTGCCATAGCAGCTTGTGAATGTGTCGCGAATTTGACGAATGCGCATCCTTTTGACAGACCATCGGCACCACGAAGTACAGTCACCTGAAACCTCATAAAATATTTGCTTGAACTTTGGCTGGAAACGATTTTAGTGATTTCTAGAGCCTTATTGAGGAGACCCCAGCTTCCTAAGCAGGAAAGAGACGAATGATTTAAAGCGGAGGAAAGGACAGTAAGAGGTCAGTCTATGAAGAACTTGCAATTATATCATTCAGGAGGTAAGTTAGAATGCATAACTCAATAAGTCAGTTCAATATTATGCAAAAAGGAAGGCATTAAGAAAAAAATTGTCCATTGCATACAGTCGGGAGAAGAAAAATGAAATGTATCGTGATTCAGTGAACAATAAGTAAAAGAGATGGGAGGAATAAAATTGAAACAAAATTATCGACTTCAGGAAAAATGATGGAATTTAGAAGGGTAAATGGGCAATATTAGATGATGAAGAGAGTCAGGAAGAGAAAAGTGATTTTTTTATTTTTTCCAGAGAAGTTGTAAAAAAAGAGCAGCAAAAGCCTCGGAAAAGTATGGATTCGAAGAATTCGAAAAGGAATACGAAGCTTCAATCATCTTTTCTCTTTCTCTGCCCCCAGTGAATTGAAAATGATTGCCTTGTCGATTACGGGAGGTGTCACATGTCTCATGGCCAAATTTATTATTCTTCGCTGCGATATGGTTTGCTTTGCAGAAAACATTTCTGATATTGGTATTGAAAAGCGCATTTCCTATCATGGATCTTTCTTTTGAATTGAGAAATATATATCATTCATTTTCAAGTTCCTGCTGGTCATCTTTAATCACTTCAAGGCGTCTCCACTAGCCGAGAAGGACTATCAATTCATATTTTTTAGGAAAGAATCAGTGAACTATTTGGATTAGATCTGAACTTATAAACTGGATGTTGCTTTTTTTTTGCTTCACTGTTTAAAAATAGTAATGAAATGATAGTACTTTCATTTATAACAAATATTTTGAAATAAAAAAACCTGAAATTCGATAATTATACCTCATCAATGACGCCAAAGGGGGCAAATAGGGCGCGGACATCGTCTTCGTTGTGTTGCTTGGAAAGCATACCGACAAAAAGCTTTCGCTCTTCAACATTTTTTGGTGAATCAGGACGACTCTCATTATCTGCCGGTTTTACCTGCATCGCGCGATTCATCTGAATTTAGATGGCTGTTGAAAATATTTTTCATACGACAATTATAAACTTATGCTAACTATTCTTTCTGACATATTACACTGCGAAAAACTAATGGCATAGTTGTAAATTTTCATTTCAAATTTATTCGTTTATTAAAGAAAATTTTTTTGTTTCATGAATTGATTACAATTTGTAAAAAACATTTTCAGAAAAAAAATCAGGAAAAGAGAGAAATTGGTTCCAAGACATTTCCAGAAAATCTATTTTATTCGGTAAGATTTAAAGAAAACCTATTTTATTTCAAACACTTGCAATTCCAACCAAACTTAAATATTTAAAACTTCTTAACATGGCATTTTGAGAGGTTGACAAAAATTTTTATTGAAGAAAATCTGGAACGAAAATGTTATTGAAAGGAAAGGAATCGACAGAAGAACAAAATTGTGCCAACTGATTTCTGTAATCTTTCAGAAAGTTGTGTTGTGAACTTTTGAAAATTTTAGGGAACTGTAATGTGTGAAATATTTCAAAGTCTTTTGGGTTTTTCTAAGATTTGGCCATTAAGTTGATGCGTTAGACTTATAATGGGATAAGAATAAACACTGGTTGCTTACGAATAAATGATTAAGTTGTGAACTTTCCGCAGTACCACTGCCAAGTTCGAGTTGATATGTTAACAACCAAAAGTTTAAAAGAAATAAGTGTCTGAAGCACTTTTTTCTCAAAAACTTGCCTGAAGAGCAATCATCGTTTAACAGACCATTATTCAAGTTAATGGATGATTGACCACATTAATAATGAATATTTGCCTTTTCCCATTGCTCAATTTATTGTAAGTATATACGACACTAATTAGCTTCCGGTGGTAACAAACCGGCATGACACAGTAATGAATGGAAGGCAATAGGAGCTTAGATTGGGCAAAGGAGCGCTCCGTTAAGCAATCACCCAACTCTGCCAGTAATTGGATGATTTTCAAATTGAAAATGAAAAAGAAGAAAGAAGGAAGAGGAAGCTGAAATGAATTTCAAGAAAATATGCGGAGAGAGATATATGAAGAATGTTCAGGTCTGAGAGAAAAAGTTCCACCAGTTCCTAATCAGGTAAGAAGAACGAACTTCGAAACATTTTCAGTGATTGGTTTAAGCTGCATCCTTCCTTTTTACTCTTCTGTCTTTGTCGAATTTACAAGTGACAAAAAAAATTTCCGATAAGATAATGCAACGAAATTTCAATTTCTCAAATGTGCGCTTTTTTCTTAATGTTGAAGCGAAACTTTTACTCACCGGAAGATTTGAATGTTTAGATTTAAGAAAGTTCCTGTTTTCTCAAATGATAAATAATAAAAGCTACAAGGAATTATTCGCAGATTGAAAATTGAGATTTATGGATTTCATAGAATTAAGAATCCATGGACTACTGCTGGTACAATGATCAAAAGATCGATATCATAAAATGGCCAATATTTGGTCCAGTTGTCACATCTTTTATTACACACAATGAGATGAATAAAATGGATGGAAATGGATATTAGATAGATCAGTTCAACTGTATTTACACTGGTACGTTTATTTCTATCCATTGAAATCCGAACTTCAATATATATATATATATATATATATATATATATATATATATATATATATTATATATATATATATATATATATATATATATATATATATATAGTATATATATATATATATATATATATATATATATATATATATATATATATATATATATATATAT